TAACTTCATCAGATGTATAAACTATCCAATAATGTGGAGGCTATGCCAGTGTTTAGGGCTGGAGTATATTTTGAAATAGAAATTTGTAAACATTCATCAGTAACTTCATCAGATGTATAAACTATCCAATAATGTGGAGGCTATGCAAGTGTTTAGGGCTGGAGTATATTTTGAAATAGAAATTTGTAAACATTCATCAGTAACTTCATCAGATGTATAAACTATCCAATAATGTGGAGGCTATGCCAGTGTTTAGGGCTGGAGTATATTTTGAAATAGAAATTTGTAAACATTCATCAGTAACTTCATCAGATGTATAAACTATCCAATAATGTGGAGGCTATGCCAGTGTTTAGGGCTGGAGTATATTTTGAAATAGAAATTTGTAAACTTTCATCAGTAACTTCATCAGATGTATAAACTATCCAATAATGTGGAGGCTATGCCAGTGTTTAGGGCTGGAGTATATTTTGAAATAGAAATTTGTAAACATTCATCAGTAACTTCATCAGATGTATAAACTATCCAATAATGTGGAGGCTATGCCAGTGTTTAGGGCTGGAGTATATTTTGAAATAGAAATTTGTAAACATTCATCAGTAACTTCATCAGATGTATAAACTATCCAATAATGTGGAGGCTATGCCAGTGTTTAGGGCTGGAGTATATTTTGAAATAGAAATTTGTAAACATTCATCAGTAACTTCATCAGATGTATAAACTATCCAATAATGTGGAGGCTATGCCAGTGTTTAGGGCTGGAGTATATTTTGAAATAGAAATTTGTAAACATTCATCAGTAACTTCATCAGATGTATAAACTATCCAATAATGTGGAGGCTATGCCAGTGTTTAGGGCTGGAGTATATTTTGAAATAGAAATTTGTAAACATTCATCAGTAACTTCATCAGATGTATAAACTATCCAATAATGTGGAGGCTATGCCAGTGTTTAGGGCTGGAGTATATTTTGAAATAGAAATTTGTAAACATTCATCAGTAACTTCATCAGATGTATAAACTATCCAATAATGTGGAGGCTATGCCAGTGTTTAGGGCTGGAGTATATTTTGAAATAGAAATTTGTAAACATTCATCAGTAACTTCATCAGATGTATAAACTATCCAATAATGTGGAGGCTATGCCAGTGTTTAGGGCTGGAGTATATTTTGACATAGAAATTTGTAAACATTCATCAGTAACTTCATCAGATGTATAAACTATCCAATAATGTGGAGGCTATGCCAGTGTTTAGGGCTGGAGTATATTTTGACATAGAAATTTGTAAACATTCATCAGTAACTTCATCAGATGTATAAACTATCCAATAATGTGGAGGCTATGCCAGTGTTTAGGGCTGGAGTATATTTTGAAATAGAAATTTGTAAACATTCATCAGTAACTTCATCAGATGTATAAACTATCCAATAATGTGGAGGCTATGCCAGTGTTTAGGGCTGGAGTATATTTTGAAATAGAAATTTGTAAACTTTCATCAGTAACTTCATCAGATGTATAAACTATCCAATAATGTGGAGGCTATGCCAGTGTTTAGGGCTGGAGTATATTTTGAAATAGAAATTTGTAAACATTCATCAGTAACTTCATCAGATGTATAAACTATCCAATAATGTGGAGGCTATGCCAGTGTTTAGGGCTGGAGTATATTTTGAAATAGAAATTTGTAAACTTTCATCAGTAACTTCATCAGATGTATAAACTATCCAATAATGTGGAGGCTATGCCAGTGTTTAGGGCTGGAGTATATTTTGAAATAGAAATTTGTAAACATTCATCAGTAACTTCATCAGATGTATAAACTATCCAATAATGTGGAGGCTATGCCAGTGTTTAGGGCTGGAGTATATTTTGAAATAGAAATTTGTAAACTTTCATCAGTAACTTCATCAGATGTATAAACTATCCAATAATGTGGAGGCTATGCCAGTGTTTAGGGCTGGAGTATATTTTGAAATAGAAATTTGTAAACATTCATCAGTAACTTCATCAGATGTATAAACTATCCAATAATGTGGAGGCTATGCCAGTGTTTAGGGCTGGAGTATATTTTGAAATAGAAATTTGTAAACATTCATCAGTAACTTCATCAGATGTATAAACTATCCAATAATGTGGAGGCTATGCCAGTGTTTAGGGCTGGAGTATATTTTGACATAGAAATTTGTAAACATTCATCAGTAACTTCATCAGATGTATAAACTATCCAATAATGTGGAGGCTATGCCAGTGTTTAGGGCTGGAGTATATTTTGAAATAGAAATTTGTAAACATTCATCAGTAACTTCATCAGATGTATAAACTATCCAATAATGTGGAGGCTATGCCAGTGTTTAGGGCTGGAGTATATTTTGAAATAGAAATTTGTAAACTTTCATCAGTAACTTCATCAGATGTATAAACTATCCAATAATGTGGAGGCTATGCCAGTGTTTAGGGCTGGAGTATATTTTGAAATAGAAATTTGTAAACATTCATCAGTAACTTCATCAGATGTATAAACTATCCAATAATGTGGAGGCTATGCCAGTGTTTAGGGCTGGAGTATATTTTGAAATAGAAATTTGTAAACTTTCATCAGTAACTTCATCAGATGTATAAACTATCCAATAATGTGGAGGCTATGCCAGTGTTTAGGGCTGGAGTATATTTTGAAATAGAAATTTGTAAACATTCATCAGTAACTTCATCAGATGTATAAACTATCCAATAATGTGGAGGCTATGCCAGTGTTTAGGGCTGGAGTATATTTTGAAATAGAAATTTGTAAACTTTCATCAGTAACTTCATCAGATGTATAAACTATCCAATAATGTGGAGGCTATGCCAGTGTTTAGGGCTGGAGTATATTTTGAAATAGAAATTTGTAAACATTCATCAGTAACTTCATCAGATGTATAAACTATCCAATAATGTGGAGGCTATGCCAGTGTTTAGGGCTGGAGTATATTTTGAAATAGAAATTTGTAAACATTCATCAGTAACTTCATCAGATGTATAAACTATCCAACAATGTGGAGGCTATGCCAGTGTTCAGGGTTGGAGTGTGAGGGAAAGGCTAGCCTCCTGCTAGGCTGCTCATCGTGAGGAGAACTTTCCTTTGTTCTGGGTCAACTTGACCCAGCTGATCAGGGCTGTGCTATGTTTAGCTCTGCTGGCATTGATTGAAAGTCTGGCAAGGCTACAGCTAGTATAGTCAAGTTTCCCCAGGAGAAGGCAGGGGACCTCGTGGCGCAACGGTAGCGCGTCTGACTCCAGATCAGAAGGTTGCGTGTTCAAATCACGTCGGGGTCAACATAGTTTTGTTTTTGCTACAGATATACTTCCTGTATGTAGACTTAGCTATGCTGTGTATCCAGTCGTTTATTTCCTGGTTCACCAATATTTTAAGGCAATAGCTTATCACCCACTAATATGAACATATTTTTTATCCATACCGTTAAAGATTTGAAGGATGTGCAAGAACTCACTTTAAGGCGTTGTTGCTATAATACAAATACTATTGTTGACATACAGACATCATTGTTGGCATTAAACAGACATCATTGTTGACAATGTTTAATGACATCACAGTAGAAATGACATCACAGTATATTATTGTGTACACCGGTATGTTTAGTTCAGAAATAAATGACTCATAGTCATTGCTTATCGTACAATAAAACACTGCAGTGGTTTATTCTCCCTGCAGTGTTTTATTGTACAATGATTAAGGGCCACGAGTTGTTTGTGTCCTCATCCCACATCAAGCGGAAAATCTTGCCCCAGAGGTTCTTATAACCCCAACCTAAAAGGGCTTGGCTGATACCAAGGAATTCCGTCCTTCTGTCTGTCCTTCTAGGAACAGATTTTGGTGCGAGCTTTTATTGTGAACACTTTTTAAACCTATTGGAGAGATGCAATGCAAAGTATGATGTCAATATTTGGATTTTCTGAAAAGAGACGGCTTTTTTTACTTAGAATTATTATTCTTAAACATTTGTGTGACCTACAACTTTTCAAATTTAGGTAACAATTTCCATACTAATAGAAAAGTTGAAGAGCAAAGTTTGATTTTGATGTGTGTATTTTCTGAAAACACATGATGTTTTTTCCATGTTGTGAACTTAGAAATTTTGTTTACTTTAACATTTGTGCAACCTCTCACTTGAAAACTATGTCATAGATTCTTTCCAATTGTCGGTACAGATTCTTTACCAATAGGAGAGGTGCAGTGCAAAGTGTGTTTTCAATATTTGGATTTTCTGAAAAAATACAGCTATTTTGTATTTTTACTTTGAATGTTATTATTGAAACATTTGTGTGACCTATAACTGGAAAGATACTTGATGGATTCTTTTCACATTTCGGGAACAGTTTTCTGTACCAATTGGAGGGGTGCAGTGCAAAGTCTATTATGATAAGTGGATTTTCTGAGAAAATATTGCTTTTTCATGTCTTGAACTTGGAAACATGTTGGAGTCGAACTCGGAGTATTAGTGAGCCCATGCTCACTTTTGTCTTGTTTTTGGTCAGTCAAGTCTGTTGTATGTAAAATGTGGTCCATAACATATACATGTACTTGAGGTACGATAATTGTGAGTATCAACATTTATGTTGAACACAACCAGTGTTCATAATTCAGCATGTCATAACCCAAATTGCAAGGGTACAGTTTTTACAGGGTCCCTAGATTCAAAACCCATAAAAAACCTCAAAGATCCAGGGACCATCCCATCCCCCCCGAATTTCGAACACTGACATCATCAACTGTCCTCTGTATAGCTATGTTTTCTTTTATTTCATTTTATCAGTATTTGTTAAATTGGAAAATGAAATGTCTGAGGTCGGAGGTCATACTTTTATAACACATTAAGAGATATGTACTTATTTTATATTAAGGCATCAATTATTAAGTGTTATGTACTTTTGATAATTCATATATGGAGACAATTATGGTAAGAATGTTGTGATAACATGAACTTTTTCTCCTTATTTCCAGTCCAACTCTCGAAGTCACATAGATCCGTCAAAACGTCTGTCATCTGGGTCTCGCTATGCTCCCCCGTCCCGTCCGTCACCGGCACCAAGTGACCAATCAGGAAGCAGAAGCATCAACAGCAGCATGACCTCTGAAACTGTCTCGCAACACATCCGACCACCAGGCTACACCTCGGATCTGTGCACTGAGTTATGATAGGAGATAGAAGATGTAGATTGTTACTGTGCTGGACCTGGGAGAGAGGCTTGTTGCCCAGCAACAGATGGAGAGAGAGAGAGATGACATATGGAATAGCCATCGTATCTACCGGTAGTACAATTTGCGGTCATTGTAATGGAAGACATGGTCACCTAGATGAGTGAAAAATAAGCCCAAACCAGTACGTCAGCTTTTGTTTGGCTTCCACATTGCGAGGTCATTGGAGCAGAAGCCTTCATAGATTCAGGGTTAAACTGAGCTTGTGACCTTGCTGTCGACATCTTACTGCCATCAGTTGCTTGTAAGAATGGATATCAATGAAGAGTCAGTGTCATCCTGCCTTACAAACTTTACCGAACTCTAGTCACTTCACTCTGGACCTGTTCTCTCGGTGTGCTGCTAGGCAACAAGAGGTGTGTGTATGGATGACTGTGCGTGAATGGATTTAATGGAAGAGGATCGGCACTCCCAGTTGTGATGATTGTCATGACCTGGGTTTTCATTGTACCTCTAGGAGTATCTCCCCTTGTAGCTAACTCTCTGAGGACTGCTAGGTACGAACACTTTATTCAATGGAGATATTCATCATAATCATGTCTTGCACTGTAAGCATGTCAATCAAGGGGAGATAAATCTAGGCATCGTGGGGAGCCTTGTTCGTGAAGCAGATCCTGCTTCCTATATTAAAGTTGTTAAATTTGCTGTCTACAAGGTGATATTGATCGTGTCTCTACGTTCTTCTTCTGTAGACGTTGATCAAACTGTATCTATGTTGATGTGATGTCAAATGGGACGCCCAGTCAGATCAACATCAACATCAACATCAGGATCAGGGTTATATCAGGTCTCTGGACAGATCTGATCCGTATCAGGGCGGGTATTAATCAGTATCATACTAATATCAAACCCTTAAGGGTGCAAAGATACAGTTTCAGATGTCAATACTGAGTTTTTATGATATCAGTAAATATAAATTTTCATATATAATGGTATGTATCATATCGCAAACTTCAATAATAATGTGCATTCTGCCACAACTGTATAGTTGCACCCTCAAAGGTCATGTGCACCCTTTCACATCGCATGCCCTGCATATGGTGTTCTGACTCCCAACAGTTTGTGAATGTCCGACTCATGGTATCTGATAAAAGATTAACTTGTGTAAGAGCTTTTCAAATCTTCTTTACTAATAGCCGAGAGCCATCTATTCTTCCATCTCCCAGAGAAGTGCATGTATTCGCCATGCCCTGTTTTCTCGGAGGTGGACAGTAGTCAACTGTAGCAGCTGTGCCATTGTAGTCCTGAATGGAGGATTAATACTCGGTTGTGCTTGCCTCACAACTACTTACTGAATCTGGTGTACACAGTGTATGTAATTTATTCAAGCATGTATTTATGTCTTCCTCTGTATTGGAGCATATTCACCAGCTGAAGGTCGTGTTAGACTAGTGCTGCGAGACCAACTCACATTCCAGCGTTCTTGCGAGGGAACCAAGGTTCCGCCATCTTGGTTTCCGGGCAGTAGTGTATCTGGGAGATCCCCAGGCGTGTCGGAGGTCAAGACGGCCATGCCACGTGTAAATGTGGATGTTTTATGCTGCCGGGGAACAGTTTCAAATATTTCTGTCAGAATTGCTCAGTATGGAGGATAGTAAAAGATTTGTTTGAATTTTCCCTGAAGAGATTAATATCATATTGGACAGGAAAATGTTTGCAAATAATATCAGGCAAATGATGTCAATTTGAAATATTCTAAAATATGTTATCGTATTAGAGATTGTCATATTTAGTCATTAGCGAAACTGTAATTTACATATTTGTAAGTGTCATGTACTAAACCATACAAGGTAGATTTGAGGAATGTTTTCAATAAAAACAAAACGTCAACAGTTCTGACAGTGAATGAGTGAGTGAATATTTGTGCCCCACTTTTAACAGTGTTACAGCCATATAACATGACTGTGACATGTCAGTTATCACACAGCTAACCCTTACTGGGAACCAAACATGCTCAGTTTAGTGCACGACCAACAGGGTTTGTAAGGATGGATGAGAATGTCTGATGTCGGCCATCGTGATTCCTGGTCAGCAGGACAAGCTTCCTGTATTTCAGCATCAAGTCAGTCAGTATTTGTAATATTTGATAGGCAATATTTATTTCACCACCCAATATTTGTATATTTGCAAGGTAATGTCATGTTGAACAGTAGAAATGAAATGATATATAGAGATTTAACCACCACTAATTGTTACAATGTGTCCAGGTAGGTTACTGCTGTTGTCCCAGCCATCTGTTCCCAGCATGGATGTGCATATCTGCATCAAGTGTCTAGTTTGAAGCATACAGTTGTGTGGGCAATGGTATTGTCTGAGCACTTGGAAGCCACCAATACACTCTCATTGTTGCCGTTTTGATGTTACATTTAATTATAATTCCGATCGGTTGTAATGTTGATCAGACAAACTACAGTAAACTATGGGTACAACGAACTCAAAGGGAGCACTAATTCTAGTTCGACATAACCGTAGTTCGTTATAAGCATGTATTCAGCATATATACAGCAAATTGCCAGGACCTAAACAAAACACAGTTTGATATGCCCGTCGGTTCGTTATAAGCATGATCGTTGTAAACATAGCTTACTGTAGATAGATTGACCAAACAGCTGATGATGATGTGATGCAGTTATTGATGTGTTGATGCAGTCCATGATAAAACTTTAAACATGGACTGTTACATGCAGGATAAGTGCCCCACTGAATTGTACCAATGGCTGAAAAGTTGCGTCTTGGATTACCTTAGCAATATGGCAAAAATGGACATGTCCTCATGGACTCTTACAGGTTTTGTGGACCTTTCTTCACCATTTTTTAAAACACAGAACTGTAGAAAAGGACAAATCAATTGAAAAGTCAAAAGGTCTTCTTGCTATTTCAGTGCCTGTGGTTCCAATATAAACATTTGCTTTTTCATTTTTCAAATTTCTTTTCCTCAAAAAATGTGGAAGTCTAAAAGAATAAGTGTCATATTTACTATTATTTTAAAAATCTGGATTCTTATAAAGAGATTCATTGTTCCCTATGGGCAACCTCAGGTCAACATTGAGAGTGTATTCATCTAGTAGCACTTCCACCCATTCACCAGCCTAGAGCAAGTTACACATTGTGTGTAGAGTACCCATCATGCATCTGGTGCTGCTGCAGTACAGCAGTTACCTCCCCTGTGTGATACCATGTTATACACTGGATGTCGTTGATAGAAGAACGTCACTTCTTGTTTTACAGGAACAAGCTTTTATTAGCATTGTCCAGGAACATCATGTTTGTTTTCCGTGATGTTGATGTCAAATGTTGCCATCTTCAGCTGTTATTACCGATTTTATAAATAAAAAGTTATTCTGTGAAAACAAATCGGGTGTTATTGTTATTAATAATGAAGGATGTATCTGTTGGACGTTGCTTAGAATGACCGATCATCTTGAGAAGTTATCTCCCTTGAGATAGAGGTGAGGTGAGGTGAAATGGGGTTTAACGTTGCGTCCAAGATTATTGCACTTATATAGCGATGTGCATGGACGTGTGTGTGTGTGTGTGTGGCAGCTTGTACTAGTCCGGACTGATGCAAAGTCTGGATGCCGATGCTGATGCTAGCTCACTGAGATACCATGCCGCAGTTTAACATGAATACCCCACTCAGACACAGTATACTGACTCCGAGGTGACCAGTCCTTGTTTTAGTCTCTTAATCCCGAGCACCAGGTAGGGTAACAACAAGAACCATCTTTTAAAGTCATTTGGTATGACGCAGGGATCGAACCACGGACCTTCTGCTCTCCAGGCGGACGCTCTACCTCTAGACCACGAAGGCGGTCCTTTGAAATAGTGAGGTGAGGTGAGGTGAAATTGGGTTAAACGTTGCGTCCAAGATTATTGCACTTATATAGCAATGTGCATGCACGTGTGTGTGTGTGAGTGGCTGCTTGTACTAGACCGGACTGATGCTGATTTATAGTGCTAGCCCACTGAGATACCATGCCGCAGTTTAACATGAATACTCAGACACAGTATACTGACTCTGAGCCGACCAGTCCTTGTTTTAACCCCTTAATGCTGAGCGCCAGACAGGGTAACAACAAGTACCATCTTTTAATGTCTTTTGGTATGACGCGGCCGGGAATCGAACCCCTGACCTTCCACTCTCCGGGCGGACGCTCTACCACTAGACCACGGAGGCGGTCATTTGAAATAGTGTCATAGGTCATAAATTTACATAACTATGAAGAAAGTACTTTTATTTGGACATGAAATATTACAAAACTGGTACGAAATACCATTTAAACAGTTCAGATATATATAATTTGAGCCCCAATGTATATTGCAATACAATTTTTGTGTCACCCATCCATAAAAGTATTACAAAATAAAACAATCATAAATGACTGCTTCTGTTTACATTTAATGGACATAGGTGAGCTTCAGTACCCATGTTGAGTGAGTGAATATTGTTTGTCGCCTCAATGAGCAATATTCCAGCTGTTTCATTGCTGCTCAAATACTTGATTTGTACCACAACCAGTGTCTTGACAGTATCCCCATCTGTTATAACACACATCACTGAGGTACAATGACACACAGCAAGGTCCTAGTGTTAACCACATAGCAACGGTTAATGCAGCTATGTCCTCGTGTCACCCACAGAGATATGGTGACGGCAGCTATGTCCTCGTGTCACTCACAGAGATATGGTGACGGCAGCTACATCCTCGTGTCACTCAGAGATATGGTGACGGCAGCTACGTCCTCGTGTCACTCAGAGATATGGTGACGGCAGCTACGTCCTCGTGTCACCCACAGAGATATGGTGACGGCAGCTACGTCCTCGTGTCACCCACAGAGATATGGTGACGGCAGCTACGTCCTCGTGTCACCCACAGAGATATGGTGACGGCAGCTACGTCCTCGTGTCACTCACAGAGATATGGTGACGGCAGCTATAGTTCTCGCTACTTGAAATAGAATCATGAAACATCGCAATGATGAATTAACAAAGATAGCTGCACTTGTGCTAATAAGGTGAAAACAAGAGATTCCGCAGATAAGGAATATTACCTACAGTAATGACAAAATTTGCAGAGTGTGCTTTTCAAGAAATATCCATTCTCTTAGCGATAAAAATCATCATTGAGTTTTGGTCACATGGTCACAGACCCACAGACTTCAGGAACAGCTGGCAGACCCCTTCAGTGAGAATCAACAGACATAAATTGCATCCTTCACGTCTTTATCAGATCAACAGAAGGGCCAAACTGGTCAACGGAGTACATGTCAAGTCTCACACATTTAGCAAACTGGACATTTCACATTTTCCTGATGACTAACCAAATGATGTTTATGTATTTCATAGCTATTGCACACAACAGAACCAATTAATGAGATGAATTCATAGAGAGATTGACCAGTTCTTCCAATAATAACCTGGTTCAGCAATCTAATTGGGTAGTAGGGTTGGGGCGATACACAACTATGCGATCCGATACGTATCACGATACTTGCATGTGCACTTATCTGTGGTGTGTAAACCATCTTTTTCACAGACAGTATAATCAAATACCTGGCACACTGACGATTTACAGTTTGCAGTGTCAAGTATGACGCAATGGATGAAAATATTTACTTTTTCAATTCTTTATTTTCACAACTAATTAGTAGTGTAACAGCCATTGAAGTAAACATTTAAGGAATGAATCAATATTTTTTACTAAGAACCTGAAAGTCAAGACACCAATATATCATGTTATTACAAAAGCATGTGCATCACCTCGTCCATCTCACACTCTCTAAAACATATTTTCCCTTCTGCCCAGCCTTCACTGTAATGTGTTAGCCCTTCATAAAGTCTCGATTTTCCACAGGTTCTGAATCTCTGATCTATGAGCAATATTTTTTAAATCCCTGCATGGCATTTTCCGAAAAATTGAACTTGGAATATTCAAAAATATCCTGTGACCATGGAGACATACTGGTAGTAATTGCAAGATGATAGGGCAGTCAAAATACTTTTTCTGAGATGTCATTATTCTTAATACGAGGGAGACATACTAAAACAGTCCAAAACATTTCATGGTGAGTCACTGCATCGGATTAAAAGTGTCATTGTCAGAATCAAAGTCTATTTCCTCCTCTTCCGTCTTCATGCCCCTGTCCTGCAAGTACTTGTCTGAGTCTCGGATCTTGTGGACCAGGAACAGGTGCTTCTTTAGAGTGGCCAGAATTGCGAAACAGAGGCCACAGTCAGGACACTGGTTGGCATTGTCAGAGTTGTGCTCCTTGATGTGTTCAGCAAAGTGAACAGCATCCTTCGTGACGACAGGACATTTGGCACAAGTATAATGCAAGTCCCCTTCAACTCGAAGTTGCTTCACAGGTGGGAAGGACGATGGTACGTTAAAGGGACTGTCAGAACTATCAGAGCTAGAGTTCTCAGAAACACAGATAATGTCAGGGCTATCACAGTGATGCAGCATCCACCTGTGCTTCTCAAGAAAATTCCAACTGGCAAAGACCCTTTCACAACGGTCACATGGGAAATAAATCACCTTTGATTTTCTTTTCAACACCCTTACACACCTCATTTTGCCATGTGTTTTATTTCCACCTTTTGTGTATACTTCTCTTACTGTTTCACTGTGGTCAGTATTCTTACCGTCTTCCAGATGAGTCGCACCGCGATCCTTCTCGGGTTGTGTGTGTTGAGGCACTTCACAGAGATCAAACAGATGAAGACGAAGTTCCTTCAGAGTCGAAAATTCTGTTTCAAAGTTTTTCTCTGCACAGAAAGGACAGATCAAGACTGGAAGATACCCACAGTGACATTCACTGACGTGATTCAACACATGGAACTCTGTCTTACAGGTCAGCCCACAGAAGGGACAGGACAATACACTCGGGCCAGGAGCTGCTCTGTACAAAGGAGGACATGGCATCCCTGTAGACCCAATCTTTGTAATCTGCTGCAGTGCTTGATGGGGCTGATCCTGCAGTGCTTGATGGGGCTGATCCTGCAGTATTTGATCAGGCTGATCCTCCAATAAACCAGTAAATCCTGTTCCTGCAGTGAGTAGTGCATCACCAGGGCACGCTGTGGTTTCAGACATGGAGCCATCAGTTTGATCCTCGTCCCTAACCAAGACAATCTCTTGTTGAAGAAGAGTGTCCACGCTGTTCATAGAAAGAGTCACTGTAGACTCTTGGTGCTGTTTGACCATGTTGCCTTTAGCCTTCATTGTCCTCAGCCTTCTGAAGCCTGTGTGGAACTTCTTCACAAATAATGGGCCATCTTCCAGACTCACCGATTCAGATGGATGTGTGTCCAGTAAGTGTTTCATTAATGCTCTTTCTGAAGACAACTTGGTGCAATATTTCCCCTTTTCTAAGTAAGGGCAGAAGAAATACTTTCCATCATAAATATTCACGACTTCCACCTGGAGCAAATCCTGAGAGAAATGAATATGATCACACAATTTGTTGTTCACTGGATGCTGGTGTGTTATGTGTGCCTTGAGCTCAGCAACACGGAAGTCTTCTCCACAGTGTCTGCACAGGACACTCTCCTTGCTGACTTCACAAGCTTCAACACTGTGTCCATCAGAGTTAAGACTTGTGACAGATTCTGAAGTTGCTGGTGGGCCATCTTCCGGACTCACAGGTTCAGATGGATTTGAATCCAAAAAGTGATGTACTGATGCTCTTTCTGAAGACAACTTGTTGCAAAGTTTCTCCATATTCTCCTTGCTGACTTCACAAGCTTCAACACTGTGTCCATCAGAGTTAAGACTTGTGACAGATTCTGAAGTTGCTGGTGGGCCATCTTCCGGACTCACAGGTTCAGATGGATTTGAATCCAAAAAGTGATGTACTGATGCTTTTTCTGAAGACAACTTGTTGCAAAGTTTCTCCATATTCTCCTTGCTGACTTCACAAGCTTCAACACTATGTCCATCAGAGTTAAGACTTGTGACAGATTCTGAAGTTACTTGTGGTTGCTGGGGTTTGTTAGTGGAAGAACTACCAGCTGCTTCAAGAGGTAGGTCTGGAGTGACAAATGCAATGGGTTCCGGGATGGGTACAGATTCAGCTGGTTGCTGATGGGTATATATGATGGAACAAGAATTATCTCCTGCTGCAGCTGATGGTTTTTGAACAGACGCTAATTTTGGATAGAAGCTTAGATGTGCAGCAGGTTGTTCCGTTGCCTTGGCAATGACTGACGCTGGTAGCTGTTTGTGCTCGCTGGGAGGTGACGCAGAAATCGGTTTGGAAGAAGTAACAACTGATGCAGACAATAGCAGTTGTTCAGATCTGCTGCCAGTATGACCATCAAGGTTTTGTCTTCTGAGGACAATGACAGATGG